GTGGGGTTAGTTTATGGTTGAAATTAGGTATGCACCATAGTCTATGGTTGAAATTAGGTATGTACCATAGTCTATGGTTGAAATTAGGTATGCCCCATGATGATTCAAGCTAATTTTTAAAAAAAATGTAAATTAGTCATTTCATTTAATTAGGTGGGAATAAATGATCACACAGATTAATATTTTTCCTAGAATTTAAATATATAATTAGTTGCCATATGAATAGATAATACATTACAAGCATCATTATGTGGCTACTTTAAACGCGATAAGTAAAATCCAACATGAATGATATTTACGTAACATAAACAGATACAGTAAATATTCGGTTGATAAATTATGCAAAGGTATAAAATTATCAGATTTTTCTGATGAGAAATCATCTGTGAACTTGCCGAGACCTTATTGGTAACCGGACATGTTTCCAGTTACACCATGAAGGTCCACACAAAAGAATGCAATTATTCATTGTAAAATGAGATTATTATAAAATGAAGAATTATTGAAGGTTGCGCCTGTCGTTGATGAAGGCCTTGGTTATGGTGAGAGATGGCCCTGCTCAGTCTCTGTTTCGATAGAGAGCACCTCCCAAGGACGAATCCGAGAGTTTGCCGCCCGTCTTCTCGTAATACCGTTGTCTCGAGAGGAGTTTTGTATATAATAAGGTATTATTATAAGTGCCTCTATACCGCAAACACGCTGTTCGTTTACAAGTATGTATGCCTTCTTTAATATACGAATCTAAATCCAAGGCTGTGGCAAACAGCTTCCTTAACACCATTCAAGCAGGGCGGCATTTCGGAACTTTTGTATAGTGATAAAACCTACAACTGTTCTGCTATATTCCTAATACTGCGAGGCAATGCCATTACTCCAACATCCACCTGGATGAAGTTGAGAATATACTGGTTGCCTTCCAAAAAGCAATTTTCTGAATTTTAATTTATTTCTTATTTACTTTGGTTGTGTTTAGCATCCAAACCAAGCAGCTATTCAGTTTGGTTTGTTTATTGAAACACGGCAAAGCATATAACGGCTATTTCTAAGGGAGAGGTAATTTCGAGGAAAACTTTCTAAGAGAAACTAGCTCGTTTTCACGTTAAACATGAGGAAAAACACGAAAACCAGCCATCTAGCCATGCCGTCAGCCTATTCATCCGAGTTCGAGCTCAGGACGAACTCTGATGAATACTGACTACCAGTATTCAACATTCTTTAACCATTCAGTCATTGGTAGGGGCCAGGTAGCCCTCCTTAAGTCCTTGGTATATAATTGTTTTATTAGCATTTCTTTCAAGTTCTAGGTATTTGTCTACTAGCCTACTGAGAGAATATTAAAGCTTTCTGGTAGACAAAAATTCCAAGCCAAGTATAGTTTTTGTCTAATAGAATTCTTAGGTATTCTAAAATGTGTGCAAAGTAGTTTATATTGCCATTTAGTCCTTCATGCCTGGGAGATTAACTCATTCCCTTTAAGCATCTGTGCCTTTTGAACTTTGATTCTGTGTGTTGTACTACAATTTATTACTGTTTTGAGGGCTTTTTCGATTCTACTTTCAAAGCCAAAATACGGTACTGTGTTTGTTCTTAGATATCATATGATGGGGCCGGTGTTGTTTGCTATAATTATATAAAATACCTAAATCTTTCAATTAACCTCCATAAGCCTAGTCGAAAAATGTCACTAGTATGAGTATAGAATAGTACATTCGTATTAAAAAGAAGCTGACTAATAACATAATTAATTAAAGTTGCCGAACACTGGGAGTTTGCCTGAGTTATTTCCGTGAGAATGGAAATAGAGAGTTGCATGAGGTTTCCCCAATCCGCAACGTAAATACCAGCCACTTTTCCTTAAAAAGGCTCCAGGAAAGGTCTCCCTTCTCATATCTCCTTTCGAACTTTGCCATAAGCAAACAACTCAATCTGTCAAATTATTTACATAAGAAAAGGAAAATTTATTAATATTTGAGTATTGGCTGAACCCCCTTAAAAAGAAATTTCAGGTTTTCATAATACGTTGAGCTCTGTCATCACACCATAACAGTTCTTCAGACATCACTGCGTAATTCCTTACTTTTTAGCAAATAACGTCGCTGTGGGCTCGGCAGGCGCGGAGACGTAAAGTCGCTTTCTCTGGTAGTTTCGATCTGGACTAAATTCTAGGCGAAAAGGTGGCTGCATGGGCTTTTTCGAAATTTTTCCCCATGTGTAACGTATATACGAGCAAGTTTCTCTTAGAAAGTCTCCACAAAGGCATCCCTTTCCTTAGGCAGATAGCCCTCACGTGCTTTGCCGTAATTAAATAAATCAAACCAATGTCGACATTTTTGTATGCGTTCTCTTCGTTGCATTCCAAGTCCCAATGGTTTATGTAAGGGAATCTCAATTTTTTAAAACTCTTATACTCAGTTTTAAAATATATGCATGTAGAAGTTGAATGCAAGGGAAGAAATTGCATTGCTGTTCAAGAATGCAGCATTTTCCCGCAAAATCACAAAAGGAATAATTGCTTTGAAGTCATCACCATGAAGTTTTCACCAGAAAACAAAAGAGGAAATACACAATTGTAGGTAAAAAATATTGATTCATTTTCGGGATAAATCATTCCATTTTTTTCAGTAAAAATTAATGAAACTTCTCTTATATGGGTACTCAAATATGTAAGTACCAATTCATTTAAATGTACGTTCACCCACTTTTGGCTGAAGTTAAAAAATGCTGATAGTTCATTTCGGCTGCAAGGCCCTCTCATACATAACGCAAAATGAGCCACTTTATCACAGAAAATGTTCCACAGAGGTAATCTTCCCCTTAACAAAAGCTACCATGTGCTTTGTCGTCATTAACCAATCAGCTAGTTAAATATAGAACTACTTAAAGGAAATAAGTGGAATGATAAACTCAGCTCATTTTTGAATTAGAAACACGTATCAAACGAATAATACGCATATTTGTTTTAGCAAAAACTAAAACTAGCCAAAAGGTTATCCAACACTTGGTTTAACTTCGTTGTGGAAACTAAAATTAGAATAGCCAGATTCATTACTTAGAAAATTAACTGACTTCCCCTTTAAACCCCATTTACTATTAGTCCAAAGGGATTTGAGTCCGTAAGGACTATTACTTTCGTTTTGGCATTTTGCGTCGGACTCTTATAAATGTCGCTTCAACTTTTCAAACTGTTGCCACAAAATGTTAAGAGTCATGCATTATATTTGAGGAAATTACATAATGAAAAATCTGCATAAGCGAGCAATGGCAACACTCTACGAGGCGGGGAAAAAAAAAAAAAAAAAAACTATCACCAGCGCGTCGAACTGTGTATCGGAAATTCGAAAGATATGCTCATTTTAAAATTATTTTCTGACATTGCTTTTGAACTAAATTTTATGGTTTAAGGGCAAAGAACACGATATTTAATAAATAAAGGTAACGCACAAAACGTTAAAAAAATCCCTTTGGACGTAATTTAAAATCTAACATTTCAGACTTTTTTTTAAAATTTTTTTAGGAAATTTAATACTTCGACAGCTACACAGCGCTATTGGCATTTAAGCTTACTTTAATTTTTTAAAATTTACATAGCAACAGTATCAATAAAACTCAATTTCAAGTAATTAATTTCATAAGTTATAGACCGTATGCCCTTTCTAGCATGCAAGTTTAAATGTGATGAGGCTGCTTTCAGGAAGTTCACCACTGGAAATTGTGAAAACGATTAGAACTTTTCCTGGTGTGCAGGAATAAATTATACTATATTTGCCCATGTTCGATAAAATACCATCCAATTATCATGCAAAATCTTGCTTTGTAATAAAACTTTAGCGCAACACATCTTCACTTAGGGAACATGTCTTACGTGTTGAAGCTTTTATCAGACTTTTGCATTGGTTACAAAACTGGATGCACAGCAATATTCCTCAACCCGTATGTCAATTGTTTTGAATGTTAATGCAGTAAAACGCTTCCTAAATGAGTGAATTCTTTGGTCTTTATTGGAAGGGAGAATAGATATACTCTTCAGTATTAATGTAAATAATTACTGAGAGAATTAGATTTTTGTAGCGTAGTTTACATGGGATGAGATCACTTGGGGTCCCATGATACGAACCTTCGACTCAGTATGTTGAACTATGAAAGCATAGTAAATTCTTAAATTAATGTCTTTTTACAAATTTATTGTCTTTATTTATTGGCTTTTTACAAAATTTTAAACGATATTAAAATATTTATGCCTTCAAAATAAAAAATTCTTAGAACTAACATTTGTTAACATTTTTTATGTGTATACTGTATGTTGGCGAAACTGAAAAGTACCAAATGTATTTGAACTTAAGTGGATGAATAAAAAGTATTTTATTAACAATTGAAAATTTGAACAAGATATAGGGAGAGTGTGAGCTAATAGCAGGAAATTAAACCCGTATGTCAATATAGCAGGAATTTAAAAAATATCTGTTCTTAGAATAATCTTTCTGCGTCTGTATGCCCTCGACAATATAGGACAGAAAAGTCACTTAAAAATTTTAAATTTTTTCTTATTAGTACTTAAATAACTCATATATTTAATTGCAAATGTGTTAGGCAAATTATGTTTATCTCATTAAAATTTAAAAGCTTTTTCTTGAAGAGAGCCTCATTAATTCTAAATAAGGAAATCTGGATCTTTCAAGCATTTGGTTTTAAACTAATCAACTTTTGTATATTTACGTATGATTATTTTTAAACTTAGTTTTCAGTAAAATTACAGTTCAATTGTTGACATTCTTAAAGTAAAGTGAAAATTAAGCATAATTTACATGGAATTCAATATTTTAGCAAATATTTACATTTTTTTTTTTTTTTTTTTTTTTTTTTTTTTTGCCTGAATCATACTCTAAATTTTGAATGTAGGAGAAAATCGTGTGAAAAATGAACATCCTATGAAAATAAATTGTCAATAAATAACACTTCTGAGTATTTCTTATTTACTATGATTATCATAAAAGGTTAAGAAATGAATATAATAAAAACATTTTATTTTACATAACTCATCCATACTTCGTATTAACATACGAAACATAATATAAAGATAAATTACATCCATACATAACTGAAAACAAATGATAGTGAAAAACATGACTTCCATTCATACCTAAAATCTCCAATATAGAGAAAAAACTGTGCATCATTATGATGCATCGCGTTCAAATTGCTCTATATCAGCAATGTCCATAGCAAATAAAATCTATATAAGTTTGTGATCTGTCATATACAGATAAGGAGCCTATTAAAGTTTTATGTTAACAGCCATAACGTAGCTTATGATAAGCACCATATGAAGTACTGTGCTGTTTCTGGTTCTCAGATATTCCTCCTTCGATTAATCAGGTTCACCACTCCAAAACTCCAGGAATGTATTTGTCAATCAGGGACTGATAATAAGGCATTAGTGCTTCAATGTCAGGAACTTCGTGAGATTTAGAATACAAGTCAAATTTACTGCAAAGGAAAGAAAACATTTTAGCTATTTTTAAGTCGTAAAATTTTAACAATGTAAATAGGGCGATAAAGACATTTACATGTATTTAATACCCAACACATTTCACAAAGAATAGAAAGCATTAATCTGATTTCTTAAAGTTTAAATATGAACACACCCGGATAAATATTTACCGGAAGAAAGTTTTTAAACTTCCAAGAAATTTGACAAAATATTTCAAATGTTACATCTTGATATCGTTTGGGAATTTCTCACGTGCACCAAACTAGAAACATTATTTGCTTACATTTGACCATCTGCGATACGAAATCTAACGTTAGGAATCAAAGCGTTAGGAATTAATGCTAATGGTTAAAACGTTAGGAATACATGGCGAAGAATTCAGTGTTGAATTCCGTAAAGAATATTTGTGTATAACTGGGGAAGGGGGTGATAATTCTTATTTGCCATATTTCCCCTACAGGAATTAAAGATATATACGACTGATAACGATAATTGACGCTCTTAGTAAAATGGTGTATTTAATTATGACAAAGCACACACTAGGGCTATCTGCCTGAGGGATGCCTTTCATGGAGGACTTTCTAAGGGAAACTGGCTCGTATAAACGTCACACATGGGGAAAACCACGAAAAGGCCCATGCAGCTAGCCCGTTCGCGGGATTCGAACCTCGGACCGAACTACCAGTGTTCAGCGACTTTACCGCTCGGCCGCTGGTGGGCTCCCTCTTGGTAAAAATACTTAATTTGTGCCTAAAAACAATCTATTTGTGAGATAAAATGCGATTAAAAAATCCGATATGAACACCATACAACTTCCCTGTGCAGCCTATTAAATTATGCACATTTTATACTGCGTTTCATTTAAACTTATTTCATCGAATTATTCCAAGTTAAGTAATCCCTTAAGGGAAGTTGAAAATGGCATCAAAAACTAAAGTTTTGAAAATATACATCCCGGTGAGTTTGTCGTAAGGGAGTTAAACTTATAATTTTATTTATTTATTTTTTTCATAACGCGTATAAAACTTTACCAAATGCAGGTATAGGAACCGGAAGACCGCATTAAAAGTTTAAATCTTTTTTTTTGTCGAAAATTAGTTTAATAATTTGACATTCCCAAAACATGAATATTTTCGTCATTTAAAACACTTGTAATTGGAAATATATGGCTACGATCCACGGATGTAAAAATAAAAGCCAGATAAAGGGGTAGGTGTATATAAATGCATATACACGTTTGGCACCGCAGACTGCAATAAAAAGGGAGGTGGTCAACTAGTTGTTATACCAGCCCCATATACAAAATTTAAACGTTCTACGGTTAATCGTTTTCGAGATATGCAAGATACGTGCCTACAGGCGACATGAAACTATTCCTTTTGAATCCGTTTTTACAATGAGTTTTGGAAAAAGAGGCTTATTCTATCCGTACGTACAGACGCAACGTAAAAAAGAAAAACGTCCAAATGGATTTGGGAACAGTCAATGGATATTTCGAAGGCTGTTTAAGGAAAGAGATGCCTTACTGAAGGACTTTCTAAGAAAAACTAGCTCGTATACACGTTACACATGGGGAAAACCAAGAAAACGCCTATGCAGCCAGCCCGTTCGCCGGGATTCGAAGCTCGGACCGAACTACCAGTGTTCAGCGATTTTACCGCTCGGCCGCTGGTGGGCTTTCTAGATTACAATACTTCCTTTAGTACGCACAACGGAGTAAAAGTTGGCGGTTAAACGGCAAAAATGGAATCGGGAGAAAAAGATGACTTTTTAAAAGTATGCAAATGCTATCTGGGTTGAAATAGATTCATGGAGAACTTTCTGAAAGTAATTCCATATAATCCACTGAGAAAGGCTTCTCAGCCATGACATCAAGGTAAACTCAGCCGTAAACAGAATTCAGTGAATTTACTCATACAACTCAACTGGTGACCGCATAAAAAGTTCGCTAAAACTGTAATAGTTTAATTTGTTTTTTAATAAATAGATTTTTAATCTAATTTAGTCTAGTAGTTCCAGACTTTATTTTAAAGTAGCATTTACCATTAATTTCATTCCTATTCTGAAACATCACTTGTAAATAAAGGTAAAAGTATTAAAACTTCGAAACACTCGTTAAACTACATGAACGTTTCAAAAATCTACTCGAATAAGTGACTCTTGAATGGTTGGTCATAGGCCTAAAGTTAATTTAAAAAATAAATCAGTTAAGTTCAAATGAATGAACAACAAGTTCATCTACTACAGTCTTAATTTAAAATATACGAAATAGAAGTTTTGTTTTAACTCTAAAAATAGCTCAGCGAGAACAATCCTTTGTTTAACCGAATTAGACAAAACAAGTTTTTTCATATGAGCAAAATTATCAGAAATATCATTAATTAAAAGTGTACAAATATTGCTTATTTCACCAAGATTTCGGATACTGATCCTCTAAAACATAAAATTTACGTTGGTAAAGAATTAATTCAAAAGCAATAGTTTCAGGTTTTATAGAAGTTCTAATATTTGAAATTTCGCATTTAATATCTCCGGAGAAAGGGAGTTGAAATCATGTAATTTTGATAGTATTTTTAGTGAGAACTTTATTATAATCTTATTTGATAAGTTACTTCAAGGTCTCATAATTCTATAGCTGAAGTTTGTTTCGCATTTTTTTTTTTTTAATTTTTTATTTTGGTTGTATACTATTAGGAACAGTTCCATTTCTTTCATAAAGAAACTGGATTTCAGATGTATTAGCTGTTTATTTTAGATTTTGATTTGAATAAAAATGTAAATGCCACTATTTAATATTAAAATCATAAATTCGGTCGCAAATGACGTTCAGTTTCAACAAAAGTCAGCTTAGCAATGACCCAATTACCACCTAGGCCTCTAAATCATTCTATACAATTCTTCTCTACCCTGTTTATCCTCGTGAAAGTCAAAATAGCGGTAAAGGTTCCCTAAAATATATGCTTTGTCCAACTTCCCAGGCTGTCTTAGTTTTGTTTTCAAGTAGTTTAATTATAACCGGAATTCTATGCTTCTTTGCGAAGAAATTATGAATCGTAATGGATCTAAAACTTTCATATTAACGTACTAAAATATTAATCTTTGAAATATTGCATGGGTTATGCAATTATTTTAAAATCTATGCGTATATAAAATCAAACTTACTTAAATTCTCGCACCCATTTCATCATTTCCACATCTTTGTTGCTTGTGAGATACTCGTAGTCGCCACCAGTGTGCCATGGGTAAAAGGAGTGGAACTTAATCATGTACAACGCTTCCTCAGGCAATTTGCTATTGTTGTGCTTCAGAACCTGCAATATACGAAAAATAGTTTAATTACCGAAAGCCATTTCTAGAGCTATATTTTCATGAATTTCCTGTAAAAATCAAACTTAGAAAATGCAAATATTAAGCGTGAAAAATATTAACAGATTTCAGAATAAAGCATTTTATTTATCATATTATATCTATAAGAAGAAAGTGGGTGTTGTCCTCTATAATCATCATGCTAAGCTATCGTCGCAACTTTTACATTCTTTTGGTTCTGAATAGTACGTCCTTTTCCCAGGAAAGGAAGCTAAAAATACAGTGTTCACAAAAGTGATGGGACTTGTGCTTTACAAAAGGAAACTGTAATAAAATAAATTAAAAAAATGTAAAAATTTTTTGTGGGTGTGTTTCATACTTAAATTTAGTAACAATTATTACATAACATACATTTTCTCAAAATATTAAAATATTTAATTTAATAAAAATACAATTGTTTAGAACGGAGCAAAAAATGGCTCACATAAGTGATGGGACACCATTAGATACTACTACGTACTACAATAAAAATATTTTTGGGGTTTTTTATTTTTACTCAAAAGCAATTGGCAATAATTTATAAAATCGTCTGCAGTATTTCTCTCCAGTTTGTTTTGGAATTTTTGTGTTTTTTAGCTCTGTGCAGCCATGAATGCTAAACGAAAAGAAACTTTGCCTGAAATTCGAAAATTAGTTATTAATTTGCATATTGAACGTGGAAAATCTATTAGAGAAACTGCTGAAACAGTTAACTTGAGTCATTCAACAGTTTTCAATATCATTAAACGATATAAAAAGAATCATATGATTCAGGATAAAAGAAGACCTGGCCGACCATCAAAGCTATCCAATGGAATAAAGCGAATTATCGTTCGAAATATTAAAAAAAAATCCAAGAATGAGTGCTCCTAAAGTTGCTGCTGATTTACAAGCATTATATGGAGTAATTGTTAATCCTGAGACTATTAGAAGAGTAATTCGATCTGCTGGATATCACGGTAGAGCAGCCAGGAAAAAATTCTTCGTAAGTGAAAAGAATAGAAAACTCAGACTGGCTTTCGCAAAATCCAACATAAATAAGAATTCTGATTACTGGAATGAAGTTATATTTGCTGATGAGAGTAAATTTAATATATTTGGTTTCTGACGGTAGAATCTTGGTGTGGAGAAAAACCCAGGGAAGAATTTCGCAAACAGAACTTGGTGCCAACAGTAAAACATGGTGGAGGAGGAGTTATGGTATGGGGGGTGTATGTCGTCCGCTGGAGTTGGTAATCTTGTTTTTATTGACAGTATAATGGATCAGTACAAGTATATTGACATTTTAAATCAAAATTTGAAATCTTCAGCACGAAAATTGAACCTTCATAACGATTTTAAATTCTACCAGGACAATGACCCCAAGCACACTGCTTTGAACGTTAGACTCTGGCTGCTGTATAACTGTCCTGAAATAATAAAAACACCACCACAATCTCCAGACTTAAATCCCATAGAGAATATTTGGCAAGAATTGGAATCAAGAATTCGCAAACACACCATTTCTTCAAAACAACAATTAAAATCGGTGCTTCAAGAAGAATGGGGTAAAATCACTCCAGAAATCACAAAAAAATTAGTCGAATCCATCCCAAGAAGATTAAATCATGTTTTAAAAGTAAAAGGAAATCCAACAAAATATTAAAACCTTTTAAAAAGTAAAATTTTTGGATAAATATTTGATGGAAAAGTAAGTGTCCCATCACTTATGTGAGCCATTTTTTGCTCCGTTCTAAACAATTGTATTTTTATTAAATTAATATTTTAATATTTTGAGAAAATGTATGTTATGTAATAATTGTTACTAAATTTAAGTATGAAACACACCCACAAAAAATTTTTACATGTTTTTTAAATTTATTTTACTACAGTTTCCTTTTGTAAAGCACAAGTGTCCCATCATTTTTGACACTTTCTAAAACCGAAAACGTATTTCCTCTCATTTGGACACTTCAAGAAGATGCTATTCAAGTTATCCTCAATCTGTGAAAAATTCTAGTTTCGTGAATAAAAAGGCGCAAGTAAAAATATCAGTAAAGTCTGAAGCAATTTCGGCTGTTCCGATTTTCGTAGGACTTTATTCAGCCGAAATATTAATTAAAAACTCTGAAAGCGCTAATTTTCACACACATTTTTCCGAGTGGCAACAGTGTCGCGCGCTGGAGATAAAAATGCTTTATTTCGAAAAGTGTTGCTACTGCTCGCTTTCAGATCGTAGAGTTTGTTAATCAAAAATTTGTAAATTTTATAAAATCTATACATATAAAGAAGAATGTGTGTTTGTTCACATTAATTTCTGATCAATTATGATAAATTTTTTGCCACATTTAATCGACTATAATTGAATATAGGTGAAATACTGGAAGAAACTTTATCTTTAACGATTGTTTTATTAGAAAGACGAAAACCACTAAAAACTGCGTGCCATTGTTGCTGATATAATGAGAGAGAGAGAATTAGTTTATTTTTCCTATCGAAATTTTTTTATGCGAGTTCCATATCGCATTAAGACTGAAAAAATGTATATCAGACTGAAAAGTCGTGTTTTTTGCATCGTTATTAGAGAAGGATTACAGTGGTATCGTTCTCTCTGTTGTTAGATGTATTACTCACAGTTTAACTTAACTGGCATCGGGTACTTCCGCTCGTCTACATACGAGTACATAAGAGAAATACCACTTACTCATCATGAGATCTCCGAAACTATACATCCGATTGACTTGAAATTTTGTGTAGTTACTCATAGGAACTCATCAATTTAACTTAACTGCCATCAGGTACTTCCGCTAATACTATATATACTGATTTATATCATTTAGATGCATGACCGGATTTAGATTTCATGAGCTCCTAAGCTATTTGAGATATGGGGCCCTTTATGGGGAATACGAGTCAATTCTTTTATATGCGATATGTTACAAATTTTCAGAGGGGGCCCAAGAAAGGGGGGGCTCTAAGCTATAGCTTGTTCAGCTTATACGCAAATATGGCACTGTTTGGATGTTATTGTCATGGAGTAACTAAGTTTTCCTTAAACAGCGTAATTTATTAAAATCTTTAACTATGAAAATAGTTATTCTTTAAGAAATTATTATATTTAATTTAACATAAAATCAATAAACCGAATCATTAAACTCTTTTAAAGTGCTTATATATCAACGCATAGAAAAGAGAATATTCAGTTTATTAAGAAGTATTTCCTAATGCAGTTATATATTTTACATTAGAACTTATAATTGAATTATGGAATAAAGAGTAATATTTAAGAATATTATATATTTACACAACGTGTATGTGCTTAAATCAACGTGAGTGTAAATTGGAATAAAATTAATTGAATTGCTGAAAGAAAATTCGTCTAAAGTGTAATTTTATTATCAATACATTAGCTTCAATGCTTAGCGAAAGCTGAACAAAATGCCTTATTGTCATAGGAGATAAATGATTTTTCAACTACATAGACAGCATACGAAACTTTTCCATGAGCAGAATTAAGGTACTCAGTAATTTTTACTCCTTATGTGTTTACTCTGCAGCATCAAAATTTTTAAAATATAATTTTTGAAAAAATTCATGAACTCTTTTGAAGTTTTCAAAATGCCGACTTTTAATTACATAGATAATAAAACATTTTAAAAATTTTCGAACATTTATATAATGAGGTAAAATGGTTATCGAATACTTGGACTTATTATTTTTCTCAGTCATTAAATTTTATATTAACAATTCTCAATTTTATCGCCAAACGAATCCCCGATGTGTGCAGAAATTTTATAATTTAACATTATGTATTATCGTTTGGAATAATATACTAATGCCCAAAGCTTAAAATAAAATGAAGAACATCCTTACCCTGTACATATATTCATCATGGCCCCATGACATCATGACATTTTCCAGACCGCAGTTCTCAGTGTACATGCCGAGGCGAGTGTTGTACTTTGCATTGTAGAGATCGGGATTCGTTGCGAAACTTGTCCTCCTGTAGACAATAGAAGGAGCAAATTCACATCCTACTGGAAAAGTGTCTCCAACCACGCACCACTGAGGTTCTCCATAGAGTGCCATTACTTTACCAAGGTCATGTATCAGACCTGTGAGATGGAACCAGTCGAGAGTAGGATGAGCCTTGCGAATGCGTTCTGCAGTTTGGAAAGCATGGACGATGTTCGGAATGTCTACGTCAGGATCACTTTCATCGATCAAGCAGTTCAGTTTCTCAAGAGCTTCCATTGCAGTCATACGAGCCTTGTCGAATTTAGACCAGTATGCCATCTAAATTAAAAAGATAATTTCGTAACTTGGGTTTTTAGCGCCATTTTTATTCATTATGTATTTGATTGTAACAAAGGAATACTTTTAAGGAAAACTGGCTTGTATCCTCGTTATACACGAGGAAATATATTAAACATACTTATTGTTAAATAAAATTATATTACACATAAATAATAATTTATTCCTGAAAGTGGTGATTAATATATTCTTGTTTCAGGAAATGCTGTTTTCAGTTGGTATGAAAATCAAAGTTTAAACTTCGCTAATATAGTGAAGATCACTCAAGGATTACTTTCTAAAATAAGTAATATTTCTTGACAGTTTATTTAAAAAACTTTAAATAAATTTAATACGATTGTAAAGCTCAAAGCGTAATTTATTAAAGTTTAGCAATAGTAGTTAGTAGTAAAATTTCACCAACACGAGTAAGTTTTAACCACAAGATGAAGCAGCAAAGTTGCTATCAATAAGTACAGAAATTGAATAAGCTTTGGTTTACTTAATTATATAACAAAGTACTTGAGGGCTATCTGCCTAAGGGAAGGGATGCCTTTATGGAGGCCTTTCTAAGGGATACTAGCTCGTATGCACGTTATACATGAGGATAACTACGAAATCGCCCATGTAACCATTAGACCGGGATTCGAATCTCGGACCAAAATACCAGCGTTTCAGGTTGAAGTGAAGTGGAATTAAATAAGGTCCTGGTTTGAAGTGTAAGAATAAAAGCTGTAATATAAATTTATAAAAGCAAAATAAATTAAAATTAGATTTTACCTTAGATAAAACAAAGTCTACAGTTTGGTAAGTATGCATGTTGAGGTATGTTTCACGTACTCTTGCTTGTATTGGATCCTCCTAAATCAAATAAAACAAAATTTACTACATAAAAATAACAAACCTATTAGGAAGAAGTCACGTAAAACTAAATGTTCATAGCCCAAGCATTAAAACTTTAATTTTTATTCCATTTAAAACCAAAATACAAGTTTAAGAAATACTTTAAAGCTTTCAAAGCATAAAAAGGTGCAAGATTATAAAAGTACAGAAACTAATAAAAAACTGCGGGTTATACTTTCATAAAAAGAAACGCTTAGGTTCCGAATTGCACTTAAAGATTGTTAAATTTTAATGGAATAGTTTCTAGGCCATTTTTATTTAAATATTTTAAAGTACTCTACAGTAATTTTCCGTTTCACCAGCGCAAATCTCGATAAGTAGACTTTATTGGCGAAAACCCACAGTATACACATAAAAAGTGTTGACAAATGTTAGTTCTAAGAATTTTTTATTTTAAAGGTATAACCATTTTAATGTCGCTTAAAATTTTGTAAAAAAGGCCAATAAATTTGTGAAAAGACATTAAGAATATACTATGCTTCATCGTATAACATCCTGATTAGCCGATTCATATCACGTGACCCCAACGTAAACTACGCTACAAAAATATAATTCTCTCAGTAATTATCTACATTAATTTCAAGTTAAATCTTAATTTGGAATACAAGTTTAAACGTAAGAATTATTTCAGTTCCTACGAATAGCTTACTCAGAAATTACATAAAACCGCAGTGCTTTAATTCGCTAGAGCATTCTTGTTAGAATGGATAAATTTATCTCTTGACTTAGCTTTTTCTATATTTTCGTCTTCGGGTGAGTGGTGTGATTGCATCCTAATTGACATATACCGCGAAAGCCCTTACGGCATAAAATTGAACCATCCGGTAAAACTTCTATGTAATTGTATGCTAGTATTGAAAGGAACAATTAATCTGGTAAGAAATGGCTACGACTTGTTTTCAAAATGTAAAAACTAAAGTAAAAGGTTACCAGCAAGGATATTTCGTTTGGCATCGATTGCACCATTACTGGCGACTTTATCGCTTGCGCCGGCAAAACGGAAGAGTACAGTCTTCTACAATTCCGAACTGTTTTGAGAATTACAATTAATAGGATTTCAGCAAATCCGACACACTTCTTAAGAAAATGTGGTATAATTCCGTTTTGAGGACCGTAAAAAATTGCAGCGAAAATGTATGCGCAAAAGCGCCAAATCTAGCGTACACGCTGATTTCAGATTGCGTATGTTTATATAGTTCTATATTTCTTAAGACGCCATTGAAATACTAGTTTAATTTTTAAATCCTTTTTTTGATTTTAAATCCTTTTTTAATATCCTATGGATTTAACAATTTGAGAATTGACCATGACGAAAAATCGGCAATAGAATTTTGGATTAAAGTGCAGAATCTCCCACTGTTTGACGCGTTTTTAAGAATTGCACATATTCGGTATCCTTGTGCACATCGACCTATTTTCATTTTTAAAAAAATCTCACAAAAATGGTACTGCGCACACCCTTGGCTTTATCTATGTACACATCGACCTATTTTCACTTAAAAAGTTAAAAAAAAAAAATTGACAAAAATCCAATTGTTTTTACCCTTGTAAAAAGCGGCGAACAAATAAGTGAGCGATTCTGCACTTTACCGAGAACATTTTCAAAGAAAAGGAATCATTCATTATAGAAAATTACGTTTGAACAACCAACAAGATGAAATTATGCTTTAGCGGTAAGTCGGTAGCGAAATAGCGGTGCAGGTATCCATTCAGTTATGTTTAGCAATTTTTATACAAATTATAATAATGATCTGAAATAGTTGTTTACCCTTATGCTTCCATTCAGTCATATAAATTATAATAATAAAAAAGTATTATATGAAATTAACCTTTCATCTAAATTAAAACATCAATCTTAGATGGTTATTTACTATTATAATTCCTTTCTTGCCGCAATAATTATTAGGGTTGCCGCAATTATTTTTGGCAGCATTGCCATCAACAATAGTTTGGCGATTTTTTACGACCATCGAAACCCAGTAGTACCGAAAATTTTCACTTCATAAGATGTAAAAAGAATTTAGTTTAATTTTCGAGCACAACTTAGAATTTGCATATAAAACTTTATATTAAACATACCCAAGACTATTAAAGTGAAAAAAAAAAATCTTTACACTTACTTTATCTTCAGAATAGAGCCTGAAGTCTTCTATTTTCTTCTTTTCTGGACGGTAGAGTTCGGATGGATCTAGCATGGGGATGGTATCCTCGACTTCTTGATGTTCGTCAAAGCTACGATAGGCAACTGCGGTAGTCATGATGTTTCTTTAGGATGCTTCTGCTGTGAGGTGCTTCGCGGAGACTTGGTTACTTGGATTTGTTATGGGGTGCTTTAGAATCACGGCTGCTTTTATACATGTGGCTTCAATCAAAATAAAATTTTCTTTGGAACACCAAGTCCGTTCACAGTTCAAAATTCTGCCGATTTCGTGCGCAAAATCTTGCCCCTAATTGGCTAAAATGTACACACCTCCAGCTGTCTATTGGAAGATGGCTGGCGAGATAGGTTATCTACTGATAGCACGAAGGCAAGGAATTCCCCAGAGAAAAATCTTCCCATTTCGTGCTTTGCATCTAGGACGTTCAGACCATACGAGAGTCTCCAAGGAATGCGTCATTCAGCTTCCTTCAAACACGGAAATAAAAATACCGATTTACGTAGATGCTAAGTAAGGTCTAAAATGAGATTTCAATATAATGTCTCTAATTAAACTGAACCCGAATATAAAACAAGAAATGCAGCAAGTTTCTAATATAACTTAATTTTAATTTAATTATTAAATGGCATTGCTGAACTGTTAAGCTTGTTAATATAGTAACTTTAACAAATTATTTCTGAAATATTTACCATAGCAAAACCCTTTCTTGCAGAAAATATGTTATAAAATATATTTTCAATGCTTGTCTGCAGTGAATAATCATAAGTTGTGAAACAAAATAAGTCACTATGTATTTAAAATAAATTTGCTTAGAAAATATTTTAGGTTTATTCATCTAATTTTCTTGCCAGTCGTTTTGGAAAATCTCTTGAATTGGATCTGTGATTTAAAAATGAACCACAATAATAACCTCTGAAATTGTGCGTTTCAACACGCAAACGTTAGTATCTAAACTTCCAAAGAAATTAAATTCTTTCAACAAAAGTACCTTTTGGCACTTGGAAAAGGTATACAAAATATCACCCAGTTATATTTTGTATACTAGATTAACATTATTATACATCAGGTCAATCTTTCAATTAAATCTGTAGCTACATTAGCAATGAATAATGTGTTGCAGTTAAGTAATTCAAATTTTCTATTAGATATCTCCTGAAAACTGTTGGTAACAAAAATACTGCAAAAAGCATTTTTCAAGATATTTCTCATTAAGAATCTTGAATTTTAAGAAACTATTTTCTAACCGTTAGCAAAATCTTTCATTTGAATTACATTTTTTTGATGGAAGAGCAGGCTTTCATACTGCGAGAGGAAAAACTGTTGCAGAGGTAAAGTAATATGATTGCCATTGAGAATAGTGCTATTTAGCTATGCATTATTTTAAATAGAACTGAATATTTACGTAACCATTTTATATTTCATCTAAATATAAATAATAAGTAAATTGTAAAGTTATCAAAAGTACGACACAGAAGGCTATTGCGAATTACGCAAAGTTTTTGTAGAATAAAACTATTTTATTAATTTTAGATTTATGAATATTGCACTTAACAGTAAGTTTTTTTTCTGAAATGAGAAACTTAATTGTAAATGGGATCTAGTGCGAAAGTAAGGCAGAATTATTGTAAAGTTAGTTTACATTATAGGTTATTAATTGTGAAAATGGTCGAAATAAGACAAATTTTAAGACTTGTACTGAATTATACTTTTATGGCGATATCTTTCGCAATACTCAAAAGTCATCTGTCAAACTCTTCGCGTTGTCAATTTCTTTTTGCTAAAATGGCAGCAGTTAAAAGAATTCGGTATAATAAACATTAGCATTTATTTTCAAAAAAGAGAAACTGGTTATCATTTGTTTTACTCCTCTTTTCCCGCTAAAAAAATTATTTAAAAAATTTGTTTTTCACGGTGTGCTATTAATACATTTCTTGTTAATCAACAAAAGTATACTCTGAAAAATATTTTTTCATCTCCAAAATCTTTGCTTATAACAAATATTTAAGTGGGATTTCTAATGCCAGAATTATTCTGCATAAGAAATTCATTTGAACTAATATACTGTGGGATAAATTATTAATCAGATTATGTAATGGATATGTTAACGAAGTGCTTCGAAATTCCTTTTGAACTAAAAGGAAAATTCGAGAACCGTTTATTTTAGGAAAATGCATTTCTGAAAAGAATACTAAAGAAAAATTAATGTATTATGCAAGAGAATCAAATTGTTCATTGTTGAATCAAATTTTTATATAATCAATCTACCAATTATTACCGAAAATCAAATTGTTTTGTCTTCAAGAATTCAACCGATATTAAATGTTTTCTGGTTTCTATTTACCAGTCAATGGTAACAACAAAATAATTTGTTAAGTTTTTGGTGGTGTATTTAATTATGGCAAAGCACACTAGGGCTATCTGCCTAAGGGGAGGGATGCCTTCGTGGAGGACTTTCTAAGGTAAACTGGCTCGTATACACGTTACACATGGGGAAAACGACGAAAACACCCATGCAGCCAGCCAGTTCGCGGGATTTGTTAAGTTTTTGGTAATTGATGGAAACAGAAGTAAATTGATTTTTCATGTGATGTATGAATTTGTAATTAGATTTCTCTGTAGTCTTATTTCTTCGCGTCCTTTCCTTAGAATTAAATTAAGCTATAATTACTCGTAATCAAGTGCAAATAGGATGTATTAATAATAATTTATAATTATATTTCGAGCAATTAGAACAGAAAATACTTTATAACCGACAATTAAGATACTTTATGATTTATTAGGCCTAAAAAGTATTTTCTGTTATTATTCATTAATCATGCTACAGAAAAATTACGAAGTTATCTTACTTATATCTAATGTTAGTATATTTAAAAAATATAAACTAATATTTAATTTTTAAAAATGGCCATATGTTTGCTACCTTTTTTTATGAAATGCAATATAAATTTTAAAATTTACAGAAAGTGAACTTTTTTAAAAATAATGAAAGTTATTACATTACATGATAAAGCAAATATCTTCCTATTTCTTAATGTACATACTGAAACTGATAATTTTCAATGAACGTTGAAATTTTTCAAACAACTGAAGTAAGTTTCATTTTCTTGAAACTGATCGCTTAACGATGCGTACGAAAAATGTCATAACATTTCCTCAGACTTTTATCTGATTACATTTTAATGCAATTATGCCATTCTAAGTAAAAGCAGCAGTTAGCCTAATATTAAGCGCCTCTTGTTAGGGAGTAATAATAAATTTATAAATTTTATACTCATTAACTGATGCATCTTGACAACGTTTGGGCACAATTCAGCGGTTCAATAGATGCATGATTTTAAAGTTCAAGAAAATTCAAAAAATGAACTTAGCATTTTAAAGAATTTTATTCGTTGAGTTACTACGCAAAGACACGCAAAATAGGAGTTTCATAATCACTTTTCACATTAAATTAATCTCCTCCGTATCGAAACATGTAATGAGTTTTAAACACATCGTGTGTGTTGTTCATAAGATATTTCAATTCATCTCTCTTAAAACAGCCCTGGTTTTAACATTTATGTTCAAAGTAGCGCATGCCTGTTTCGGATATCCGCAAGGATCTTCCTTGAAGCATTTATACAATGCACTTAGTAAAGCGGCTTTATTTGAGAGCGAACAAAGCCACAAGGTTTCTTAACACAGGTAATGGATTGCTTTCAATACCTTGCTAAAGGATATCTGTTGAATGACTAATATGTTAATCTTGAAAGTCATTCGCTGAAATTTGAACAGTTAGTCACCATTTCTTTACTTCAGCTCCTCGTTTTTCATATGCAACTTCCTGCTCTATAGATAATGAATTTTTGGGAATCATTAAGCCAGATCCCAGACAAGGATGCAAGGCAACTGACAGGAAATAAATTCAGCTGGCTGTTTTACAAACAGTCCCGGTATTAAAAAAATTAAGTTTGGGTTACATGGGCAAAGCCACGAAAACGCCCATTAACCTAATCGTTCACAGGATTTTGAGTCCGGGTCGAACTACCAGTGTTCAGCGACTTTGTTGCTTGGCCGATGATAAGCTTAGTTCAAAAAAGGATTTTTCAAATATCTCTTTAAATAAGTTTTCAATGCTATGCCTTTAATTTTTGTCATTTAAGAAATCCAAATCTAAAATGCCAAAAGCCTCTTTTATATAGCTCATTCCATATAAACGGTATTTTGTTCCAACAAAGCAATTTCTTTTTTTTTTTCATTTCCTGAACATTTATCCCAAATAAACAGAAATTTATTAGTTATAACGTTATTTCCCAATATCTGTTTTCTATCTTTTACAGCTAGGTTCACATTAATAAAATTAAAAGAAAATAAGAAATTTTAAGGCACATTACATAACAGTGATAGTTGTTACGAATTATTGAAAAGTCTTCTTAACATAATAGCTATTATAAAAAATTTTCAGTAAAGGCGATACAATGACCTCATTCTTAAACTTAAAAGAAGCTTGGATTTCAACCAATTCTATTTAAATACATTTATCAGCGTACTCAACATTATATTTGGAAATAAATATGATATAAGAAAACTCATCAAACTGTTTTTATCAATTTCAGACAATTTAACAGACCTGATCATTTTTTGATACGAAAACCGATAAAAATGTTGGGGAAAAAATTCTTTTCATTTTTAATTTAAATGCTTTTCTAACCCTAGATTTATCAAACTTAAAAATATGTTGCTTTTAATTAACAACCCTGGTTTTATAAAACAATTATAAAGGAACGTATAACACGGAAGAGTATACATACATTATGGGCAATTTCCGGTCTAAGTCTTTAACTTACCTCCATCCGTGCGTACTATAATCGAGCAATCCAAAAAAATCAGAAAACTACTCATTTCCACTAGCAAAATAATGTCGAAGTGCTTCCACACACTGCGACAACAAACTGAGTGAGCGAGCAGTTGTAAAAATCACTTCATTTCAACTTTAAATTAGCATTAAACTATAAATCAATTAAAAGTTCTCCCAAACGGCCGAATGGTATATACATAAAAATTAAAAGCAACAAGATAGCTTAAGTCTAAAGATCATAAAAATATTGCAAATATTTTTTTGCGGCTGTTAAAATGCTTGGAAATTTTTTAATTTAATCAACATGACCAATGCTTATCTTTTTGGATTTCAAAGCACACAGAAGTGCAAAATTTTAGAAATATGATCTTTGAAATCAAGCTAGGCAAAATCTGCATCGTGTAATGCATGTCAAAAGCGAGTGAGCGCAATTTTATCTTTGTTAAATTATTTCTGAAAACGCTGGATTTTCTAATAGCCATTGCTACTTATTTTAGACAAAAGATCACAAATAATAGTGTATATAAGACTATTAAATATCCTTAATAAAGTTATGGGCTTTATTTCTTAACTGAGGATAAAGTTATAGAATGATTTTGTAATTTTCATCAATCTTCA